GACACCAATTTGTTAGGTCTCCGTTTGTTAATTGATTTCCCGTAAATTCGTTCCGACTAAACTTTAGCGACACAAGTCCTTACTTAATAAAACTGGTTTATTCTTTCCGAATATAACTTTACAATACACTTAATTTCAACAATCGCGCTAAAACAAACGCTATAACAACGAACGTGCTCAACTTCAATAATACTCTCTGACTGTAGATCAATTACTCACTGTCGACACACACATTGTCACGTCACACCGTGACCATCTTATATATATCAGACCACCCCCCAATCTAGTAAATGCTAGAGCACTCCCGAAGGAACGGGATAGTTCTAGAAAGCAGGTGGCGTGACACTAGTCACGTGACCTCGCTGACGCAACAATATAATTCTTAATCAAAATACATAAGTTAGAATAATTATGAAAATTGTCAAATAAATTGAAATCTGCCGAATAGAGTTAGTGATTTTAATGTCAGTAAAGATGCGATTGAATTGTTTTAAAAACCGATAAAGGGACAGGGAAAATATTTTTTATTAAAATGACAGGGTAATTTGTGACCATATGTGAAATGTTTTGAGGTGTTCTACTGTAGTTTCATATTGTTACGTCTCCGTTCGTTTGTTAATTAATTTTCCGTAAATTCGTTCCAACCAAACTTTAACGACACAAGTCCTTTCTTAAATAAAACTGGTTTATTCTTTCCGAATATAACTTTCCCGATAGACTTAATTTCAACAGTTGCTCTATAACAACGCTATAATTCTCAAAGAACGTCTCATGCTCGTGCTCGACAATACTCAGTTCAATTACACACTCTCTGACTGCAGTTCAATTACTCATTGTCCTCCAGGTCGCTTTGTGGCCGGTCTTATATATACAAGACTACACTATATCTAGAAAGATCACGAGATTTAAGGAAAAGACGTGAAAGTTCGAGAATGACGTGGCGTGATACTAGTCACGTGACCTCGATGTCGTAACAATATGTTTTCTTTTCTTTTTAGGACTGACCGTTTAAACAAGGGCTTGAAAAAAGAGTTATACAATATTCACTAATTTCTTTTGGATTACTGCTGAGACTTCAAACTGATCATTTCAAGTCTAGCATCTCCGCAAAAGGGAGGTCTATTTCGTGAGCTCTTGGTCTTCTTGATGTAATTTGGCTACATCTTTTAAATCATAATTGTGTTTCTGTTGCTATAAGCCAAGTTGATCAAATTTAGTTTTACATGAGGTTGTTTGTTTATTTGTAGTTAAGCACAAAGCTACACAATGGGCTATCCCTGCCTTGCCCACCACGGGTATCGAAACCCAGATTATAGCGTTGTAAGGCCGCAGACATACCGCTGTGCCACTTGGGGGGATTTTTTTACATGAGAGATTCGTCAATACTAGTATCTTTTTAGCCATCCTAGTTATAGGTTAACCATTTATTAAATTTTGGCTCATAAAAGTTAGAAAACTTATTATTGGACGTCAAGCAAAAAATAAAATAAAGAAGCCATCAACGATATACATTGAATACAACATTTGAATTATATTAAAAGTGTCAATAAACAATACTTTTCCATGAAAAATTAGCATTAATAAACTGAATTTCACAGTATAATAGCCAAATGGCAATTAGTTTTCAACTAATTACTTGATCACTGCGTTTTAAATGCTTTGATATACATTCTTACAATATATTATACAAAGAATTACATATTTACATACTTTTTTCATTTTCTTTAGGCAAAAATAAACGTTCATGAATCAGCTGATACGAGACCTTCGCCTATTTCAGGCCATATTTTGTAGCCTATTTTATAAGCTAGCTGTAAAAAACAAAACAATAAAAAACAATATGAACATGTACCTTACAAACATGCACTTTTTAATATTCTATAGATATTTCATATTTGCTGCAAGCATTATTTAGTTTGAATCCATTTATTTTCTATAGAATAATTTATGTATCTGTATTGCAAAATAAAACCCTTCTCTTTCCAAGTTTTGTGAAAGAGAGTGTATTTGATTGCGATTCTATTGCTGTCAAATGGAATTGTGGGTCGGTCGTGTACATTTTACGTCTAGCTTCCCGAAACAAAGCCGTGGTTGAGGGAGCTTACTGGTTAAGAAGGTGAGAGAGGTATGAGATGGTCTTTGTAACTTGACGTAAATTAATTATTTCTGATCAACTTTTTTGTTTATTTTTACTTAAAATATAATAACTACTGTTTGTTGTAAGGTAATAGCACGGTTGGGTTAAATAAAGTAAAGAAAAAACTCAAGTGAATAGTTTTATGTACAATTATATCAATTACTGTATTTAGGCTTAAGCAACGTTACTCGTTAGTTAAGCCGTTCGTAGCCATTTTGGAATGAGCATCGTAGCTTAAACTGTACTTACCCATTTTAGACGTATTTACGTTTAGAATAATAAATATCTGGTAGAAATAACTGTTTATTGTGTAATTGTATGCTTATAAAACATCTTCAACTGTTTGTAATCGTACAGAGTCTATATGAACTTTAATTTCAAATGAGCTTTTACTGGCAAAAAAAAATGTTGAAAAATGTATAGTAATGTTTAGAAATGGATAAAGAATAACTTAATTAATTAGTAATAGACGTATTTACGTTTAAAACCCTAAATATTTGGTAGAAAGAATTGTTTATTGTGTAATTGTATGCTTATGAAACATCTTCAACTGTTTGTAATCATACAGAGTCTAAATGAACTTTAATTTCAAACGAGTCTTTACTGGCAAAAAAAGGTGAAAATATATAGTAATGTTAAGAAATGGATAAAAATAACTTAGTTAATTAGTAATAGTACAGAGACAATTTACTCCAAGTCAAACTATTGGGACAGTGTTCCGTTACTCCATATTAGTGGTAAAACTAAAAGAATTTTAGAATCTATTTGTACTTTTTTTTTATAGACAGTGATAAGTCAAGAGAGTTAAATAATATTTACAGATCACTAGGCCTCAGTTAATTTATTTGGAATATTGTGTGGAATTTTGATGTCTTATCTTAGAAAAAATATTGACTTAATGGAGTGGGTTTGGAGTATCTGTGCTAGTAGTAGAGTGGATGAATATTTTAGCCCTACACATGACCTGTTTGGATTTGTGTCATTGTAAAGACATTACTAACACAAATAAACTTGTGCACCTGAGTTGGTTAAGTATATAGAGGTTCAAGTATTTCATACCTCTTGTTTTGTTAAGAAAACATAGCCAAATCAAGTATTAGGAACGTATTTTGTTACACTTATTTTACTATTTCTTGAAACAATTTAAGGAAATTGGAACAGCCCATTGAAGAGAGACAATTCTGAATAGGACTGATGTACTTAGTAGAACTAGGTTCAGAGGAAGGATGATTGTAGAGACACAATTCTGAATAGGACTGATGTACCTAGTAGAACTAGGTTCAGAGGAAGGATGATTGTAGAGAGACAATTCTGAATAGGACTGATGTACCTAGTAGAACTAGGTTCAGAGGAAGGATTGTAGAGACAATTCTGAATAGGACTGAGGAAGGATGACTATACCTAGTGAACTAGGTTCAGAGGAAGGATGACTATACCTAGTAGAACTGGGTTTAGAGGAAGGATGACTATACCTAGTAGAACTAGGTTTAGAGGAAGGATGACTATACCTAGTAGAACTAGGTTCAGAGGAAGGATGATTGAGAAATGATGGATTTTCTTATGGATATAGGTTGATGTTTATTTTCACTTGAGAAAAGAATGTGACAAGATAAAGACTTGCAATGTCTTTTTGGTGTATCTTGAAGACAGTAAGACAAGAGGGTACATATTTTTTTGGTAAGACAGGCTAGGTTCCAGCTTTATTTTTATGAAGAGTGATTGGCTTGTGAATGAGTTAAAGATGGGGATATGATTTCCTGAGAACTGAAGGATGGGCTTAAGTTTACTTTTCCTCGAGGGTGGGTGTGCAGGGATGGACTAGAAGTACAAAATGGTTTCTTGTTATCCTTAATGTTGTGCAGTTGAAAGAAAATTCATGCTAGGACTTAAGCTTCTTTAGTTAGTTAAATCATAAATTAGTTAAGCAGAGCTGTGGAATCTGACTGCAAGTCATCACTGAGCACTTGTGTTTATTGTACACTTGTGCTTCAAAATAGCATATTGTACGAAAGTCACTTAAAAATGTATACTGCTAATGGTATGAAATAGTTAATCCAGTATTGTAGGATTTTGTATATTATATGTGGTATTAATGCTTGCATAATTGAAATTATTAAAAGCTGGTGAGAAATTGTGAAGTGGTTGAGATTGTATTGTTCTTCCAGCCAGATATCTTCCATGTTTTTGCATTACTGCATAGTTAAAAAAACTCCAACATAGTTTTGATTTCCTTATCTCAAGAAGGACATGATTCACTGATGAGATTCTTTTGTTAGATATCAGATTTCTGTTATTTTCTGCACATCCCCAATGTTCTGATGGTTCTAGACCAAATGAATGGGAACTGGGTTGTTTCATTAAAGAAAAACAAATTAAGGACTAATATGACAAATTTGTGTATACTGATTTCTTGTTAATTTAAGAATAATATAAATTGATTTTTCAAATGTGTTCAAGGAGTCTCGAACTATGGTTAATAGTCTTTTTGAAGCTTTAAAGCACTTCATATTAGGGATGTAATGAAGGGTAGGTGTCAACCTTCAGTGGCTCATAAGCTATTACTGAATAAAGGTTCGATGCTATTGTTGACTTGTATAATTTACTGATGATATCACCATAACTACTAGTTTATATTTAATTGAAAATACTTTATTTATGTGATCAATATAAATCAAATAAAACATTTACATGTAATTTTAAATTACATTGTATGGAACAACAATAATACTTTAGATAAAAAATTCACATTCTGTACAGTAAGTTTGGGGTGGTAAAGCACCTTATTGTGCCTAGTTAGTAGAACTGCAACTGGCTTAAGGAAAACAGATCTTAATCCAAACTGGTTAACAGTCATAGTCTTATTAACTCTTTCAGCATGGGCTCGGTCCCTGTGCTTGTTACAGTTTTCCTGCTATAACTTTTAAAATATTAAGTGAATGTTAATGAAATTTGACAGATTATCAGTAAACATTACAATACAAAATATCAAACTTTCTTAGTAAGTCTTAAGGTTTGTAAAGCAATGTTTTTCTCATGCCTTTATTTTCTTTTCGCATGTTGCCTTTCTAACATGTAAAGTAATTTTCATTATAAGATTACAAATACTTTTATGCATCAGAAAATGTTCAAATTTCACATGCGAAATCTTTATAATATCCAGATAGTTCTCAAATGTTTCTCAAGAAAAACTATACATTTTATCTGTTATTTTTAGTAATGAATCTCTGTACGGGTTCGATTCATTTGACTGATCTCGTAACCACCATAAAAATTAGGAAATAAATATAAACTATGCCTCTTTCATTCTAGAATGAACACAAATTATAACACAAAGATATAAATGTTTAGACAAAATAACTTAAATCTCATAACATTATACATTTATTATTTTTATTATATTGACCTTTCAGCCATGCCTGGCTGACAGTATAGAAGTTAAATGATGTGGCACACATGTACTCATGTTACCGTATCCAATAATATAAAACTGACCTTTGTTCTTTACATAGTAACCTGTCTTCGCTCTGTTTTAGTAGACTAGTATTTTGTAAAATCAGTCATATCAAGTATTATACATTATATATGTATATAGATTATTGCTATTTAGTTCGTAAAAGTTATTTAAAATGTAGAACAGTAAATAAAAAAGTAAAGCAAACAATTATCTCTTCTAGTTACGACCTTTGTACTCGGTTGCTACTTGACGTAGTGGAGGATATGAAACAAAATATTTTTTTTTAGGTTTTATATATACATTTGAATAACTAAACAATCATAAATTACTACATCAATACCATAGAATTCCACTATAATTTATCAAGCTTTGTAATTAAGCTGTATTTTGGTCTAATAATAGGAAATTTCGAGTAGACTAAAGACACAACATGTCTCTTTGAAATCTTGGTTCAGAAGAAAGAAATGGCATCCTAAGAAATTAAAATGGCCAAGAAAGCCACTAGGGGATATTCCGAGCTTCCAATTTGTTATTCATGTTATATATAGAAGTGTACATATTAGGGAGAGTTTCTAAAAATTGAAAGAGGTGGGTAGGGTGCCACTGTGTTTGTTTTATTACATGAGCAATATCTTAGCAAATACAAAAGACAAGACATTCTTATTTTATATTCTAGCTTGTCAATATTAAGAAATTGAGTAATGTATAGTACTATAATTGAATTATAATCTACAGTTTGATACCAAACTTATTGACAAATTCATGAAATAGCAGTTCAATAAAATTTTGCATTTGAGTCAACAAATGAGATAACATGGCCTTTGACCCATCTGAAAAGGGTTAACATGAAATTGTTGACTTAATCGAACATACATAATAATAATAAACAAAACAGAATGGAGTGAAACCAATAGTTCAAATAGAAAATGAATACAAACCTTTAACCAAAAATTAAAAAGTGAGCAGGTAATCACTAGATGTACGGTTTGTTGACATCACTCTCACATTTAAGAAAAATGAATAAGGTAGTTTTTATTTTTAAGTTAAATTGTTGTAAAAATTTTAGAATGTTACAATTTCTCTCACATAGGCTATCTTACATTTTTGATTTTAAAAATTTGTGAGATATAGGCTCAAACATTGGTGAAGCTGAACCCACATTTCTAAGTATTGATGGAGCACGGGCTCATATAAATCATTGTCTATAGTTACAAATGTATGATATCTATATAGAAATTATAGTTGAAAAATTACATATTATTGTGCTTGTAACATCACTAGCCTAGGCCAATTGAAATTAAAGTATCCGTGTCATAGCAAAGTTATCTGTGAGCTTGTCTGTGTGTACAAACAACAGCTGATTGAATAACCAAAGCTATGACAAATAATATACAGGACTTGAAGTCAAAACTATGTATTTCTTGGTAAGAATAAAAGGATCAGTTGTGGGCCCAAAACAGTGGGCATCATGACAGACTTGACTGGTGGTCTAACAAGCCTACACAAGACTCATTTTATGGGCATTATCGAGCTT